TAGTCCAGGTGGTTGAGTATCAGATTGTTCCATCTTGTTTCCCTTTGGGGTTGCTTTAGGTGATCTGGAAGTCTGATTTTGAAACTTATTTACATGTCTTCTCATTTCAAGGGGGAGGGAGGGGTGTGTGTTGCTGGCGCCTGCTTGGCTCAACTCCTCAGCACTGGGGGTGGCTCTGCTCTTTGGCGCTGGGAGAGGTGGTTCGGCTGCCCAGAAGTATCACCTCATTGGTGCTGGGGGGAGTTGCTGTGCTCCTTGGCTCTGGGAGCGGTGGTTCGGCAGCCCGGTAGGTTCTTTCTTGGCACTGGGGGCAGCTCTGCTCCTTGGCACTGGGGGCAGTGGTATGGCAGCCTAGAAGCAACAATGCTGTAGCGCTGGCCACTGAGTCCCAGAGGGCGGCCAGGCCCTGCCAGTCATTTGGCACTCGGGTGGTCCTGACAGATCCCTCCTAACTGAGAGGGCCAGGCCCACAGTGCTGCTCCAGAGGTGGCAGCGCAGGGTCAGAATAGGAGGGTGCTAGGGCCTCCGTGAGTCCCAACTCAGAACATCTAACTTTAAATGTGTAACCTATCTGTGTAGCCTCCATGAGAAACTCATTTAAAAAGATATGACCAGGTAAAAATGAATAGTTTAACATAGATTTAAAGTTGGGGAATGATATAATTGAGTTTTAAGAAAATTATCAATTATTGTGACTCAAGTAAGAGTACATTTTATTGCCATTGACAAAGGAGGCTTTTACAGTGAAAAATTAAAATATGTCAGTGGAATTTTATTATGCATGTTAGTATTTTAATATTTGTTGTAGGAAATGATTAAAAGTTGTTGACTATAGCGTTACATTATTTGGGTTTATATCCTAGATCTATCACTGACTAGCTGGTTATCCTGGCCAGGTCCCTTTGTCCGTAGTCTCCTCAATTTCATATTGAATAGTAATATCTATTTCACGAGGGTGTTTTGAGAATTAAATGAAATAATGCATAGCGCCTGACTCCTAGTAATTACTCTGAAAGTTATGTTTCATTCTTAACAGTAATAGTAACTTTATTTACTTATTTACCTTGTTTAGAATTGTATTTCCATTGGAGAACAGCTTCAGTCAGTTTTGGGAACCACTGGATTCACGCGCATGATTACACTACAGTCATCTACTTCAGGAGCCTTAGACAAGTTGTCCTCCACACCTTTTCCTTTTAGAACTGGATTGACATCTTCAAAGATGACTGAAAATTTAAAGGCTTTCATTGATAAAAGCACACAGCCACTTGATGAAGAAAATACTACAAACCATGAGTGTAAAATTGTGCCACAAAACCATTGCCTTCTTGAGAATGATCTTAAAAATGCAGTGTCTTCTTTCTTACCAAAGAAAGCAAGTGACAACTCAAATATGTCCAACTCTGAGCTGCTGCCCTTTCTCCAGAATTTATGCAGTCAAGTTAATCATCTCCGAGTAGGACATACTGCCAAGTCGCAGGAACATACCTCCAAGCCTCGTGAAGGGATTGTTGGTGTTACGTAAGTAATTCATTTCAATGCAGATGTAGTTTAGATTTGGTAGGAGAGATAATCAGAGGAAGGGAATCAGATTTGTTTCAATGTGTACTGTCTGAAAATCTCTTTCCAGAGAAAATTTTATCAGCTTTTCCATTTTACCATTAATGTACTTACAGAGAAGAACTATTTATAGAGTAGAATGGATTGCTTTGAAAGAAATGCATGTAAGTGGAGATATTGCACACTTCTTAGGTATTCTGTGGAAGGATTATAAGCCTCAGATAAGGGTTGGAGTAGAAAGTTAGTGTTTCACTATAGTGTTCTAGATTGGAATTCATGACTCTGGTAATAGTTTTGGCTTATACTGTTTTTTGTTAGACTGTTCGCTCTTGGTTTACAGTTTTCTTCTGAAAATAGGGGAGTTACCTTTGTTTGGTATTAAATACTACCAACCACTAATGGATGAACTGACATTTATAGAAGACTATACCAGTAATACCAGAATACACATTTTTTCCAATTATCCATGGAAGATTCATAGAGATAGATTTTATCTTGAATCATAAAGCAAACCTAACTGAATTTTAAGAGGATTTAAATCATACAAAGTATTTTCTCTTAACTACAAAGACCAAAGAAAAATATATTAGTAATAAAAAAATAAGTAAGTTCCCAAACACTTGGCAATTAAACAATATGTGTAAATCTATTATTCAAGAAGTCTTAACAGAGTATTTTAAAAATACATGAAAATATAGTAGATCAAACCTTGTAAGATACAACTAAGGAACTGTTGATAAGTATATTTATAGCACTAAATACTTGCATTAGAAAAGAGCAGAATTGGGGTCGGGGATTTAGCTCAGTGGTTTCACTGCCTGCTGCACAAGCTCAAGGACCTGAGTTCGATCCCCGGTACCAATAAAAAAAAAAAAGAAGAAGAAGAAAAGAGCAGAATTCTCAGATCAATAACACAGAACCACAACTGTTCAATAAAAATGAAGTAGATAATCTGAATAGTCTTATAACTATTAAATAAATTGAGGTTGTAATTTAAACGCCAGGCAAAATAAACCCAAAGCAAGTAGAAAGAAGGGAAGGATAAAGAACATAAATCTATTTAACTGAAAACAAGAAAACAATAAAATCAATCAAAAGCTAATTCTTGGAATGTTTTAATATAATTAATTACTAGCAAGATTGTCAGATAAGAGGAGATATAAATCACCAATATGAGGAATATAATGGAGAAGGAATGTTATTATAGATCTGAGGCCATTTCAAAGATAAGGGAATATTATAGGCATTTTTCTGCTTATTAATGCAGCATCTTAGAAGAAATGGATTAATTCCTCAAAAAGCACAAACTAACTAACTCAACATAAAATAGAAAATAGAAAAATCCTGTAATGACTAAAATTACTGAATTTGTAATTACAGATGTCATGAAAAAGAAATATCCTGGCCCAAAGAGTTCCATTAGAGAATCCTGCCAAACATTTAAAGAAAGCCCCTATTTTACACACTTTTCAAAAAATAAAAGAGAAAGGAAGACTTCTCAACTCATTTTATGAAGCCAGTATTACCTTGACACAACTAGATTACCCCAAAGAAACCTACATATAGATATATATATATAAAATATATAAGCCTGTAAAATAATTAAACTATAAAACTAATATAGAGGATCTGTGGAGTGAAAATTATAAAATAATGATGAAAGAAATCACAGAATACCTTAAAAAATGCAGAGACATACCATATTCATAGATTTACAGACTAAACATAATTTTTTTATAACTTGTTACAGTTTGTAGTTGCTTTTTTAAAAAATTAATTTTATTGGTATATTTTAGATGGTAACATTCATCGTGTGGAATTTGTACCTATACATGATATATCTTGATTCTTTTTTCCCATTTCCCTCCCCTCCCTTCAACCCCTCTTCCCTTCCTTATTTGCAAAAGCTTTGTTTACATTTTTCCCTCTATTCTCTTTCTTTCCTTTCTCCTTCCTTCCTTTTTCCCTCCTCCCTTCCTGGTGCCGCTTCCCATCAACATGATTGATAAATGTGTCCAACACATTTTCTATAAAAAGTCCAAGATTGTTTTTATAAATATGTATCAATAGGATGATTATAACATTTGGAAGTAGAAAAATCCCAAAAAGTGGAAAGATACTAGAACAGGAAAAATATTTTAAAAGAAAAAAAAATTTTTAATATTTTAAAGTCAGAGAAATCACTACTACATTTCAAGACATAGAACTACAATATTCAAGAGTGTGGTATTGACAGAGGGCTCAATACATAAATGAGTGGAATAGAATAGAATAGAATAGAACACACAGAAATAGCCCTACATATACACTGGCTAACTTTTGACCAAGTTGCACAGTAATTCAATGAAGGAAGGATAGTCTTTTTAACATGTGGTGCTAGGGTAATTGAGTGTCCATAACCAAAACATGAACCATGACCTGAACTTCATACCTTACATGAAAATGAACACCAAATGGATAATAGACTAAAATGTAAAACGTAAAACTTTTCTAGTATATGAGAGAAACTCTTGGGGAAATGTTCTTAGATGTGACACCAAAAGCATCTCTGTTTGTAGACCTTATGAAAATGTAAAACTTTTGCCTATGAAAGATCCTGTTTAAGAGAGTTTAAAATACGCTCTGTGTATGGAGGCACATGCCCATAATCCCAGCACTCTGGGAGGCTGAAGCAGGAGGATCACAAGTTCAAGACCAGCTTGGGAAACTTACTGACTTAGGAAGACTCTGTCTCAAAAATAAGAAGGGCTGGAGATGTAGCTCATTCCAGAGACCCTGAATTCAATTCCTAGTACTCCCCTCATTTCCCTGAAAAAAAGAATAGAGAGAAAAGAAAAAGATTTATGTTAAAAAGGGTTACAGCACAAACTGGGATAAAATATTTGTAAATCATACATCCAACAGATGACTTGTATCTAAATATATAAAGAATTTTCAAAGTTTAACATTTAAAAAATGTAATCTAATTAGAACATGAGCAAGAGATATAAAGAATCATTTCATCAGAGGGTATACAAGTAGCAGACAAACAGGAAAAGATGATCAACATTGACTTTGTTGCTATTAGGGAAATGCATATTAAAACTATAAGATATCACTACCTAGGTATTTAAGTGATTAAAATTTAAAATTAAATAAGGTAGCAACACAAGGTACTGAAAGGATATAAAACTGGATCTTGTACATTGCTGATGGGAATGTAAAATAATAGCCACACTAAAAAATACACTAAGCACACAGTAGTATATGAGCTAACAGTCATACTCCTGGACATTTATCTTGGAGAAATGAAGGGTTGTGACAGCATGAAAAACTGTACACAATTATTCAAAAAAGGTTTATTTGTAATAGCCTAAAACTGGAAACAACCAAAATGCCTGACAGTAGGTGAGTAGTTAAAGAAACTGAGTGCATATATACTATGATAATCAGCAATAAAAAGCAGCAATTTAAGTGGTTCTCAAGGGTATTGAGTGGTAAGAGAATCTTAAAAGATCACGTACTATATGATGCCATTTACATCACATTCTCCAAATAAAATTACAGAGGTGGAGAACACCTTACTGGTACCTGGGGACTAGGAAAGTGAGTGTGACCATGAAAGGGTAGCAGGGAGATCTCTGTAGTTAAGATAGTCCCATCTCTTCATTATGCTGGTAGTTAGATGAATACTTGTACATGTGATGTAATGGCATAGAACTATATACATACATTGTACTAATATCAATTGGCTGGTTTTGATATTACATCTTAGTAATATGTTACCAATGAAAAAATTAGATGAGGATTACTGAGGAACTCACATTTTTGCAACTTCATGTGAATCTATAAATTTCAAAATAGTTTGAAAAACAAAACCCTCCTTTGTGTATTATCCTAAGGTAGTGATTTCTCAAACTTTGTGGTCTTTATGTTCTAAAAAATAATTGGGGACCCTAGAAAAAACTTTGTATGCAACCATGTAAAATATTTGTTTAAAGATAACAATAAAAAATGAAAATAACAGTGAAAGCATTATGTATTAACATAAGTCTATGAAAAAAATAGCCAAATTCTTTTTTAAAGTTTAATGAGAATGATTTTAATTTATAAAAGTCTATGTTAGCATTTGTCTGATAATTTTCTGATACATGGTACATTATAGCATGTATAAACAAGTATAGCTGGTAACACAGGAGGAATTCTGAGAACAAACTGAGTTAATCTCTCAAAAAGCATGTATTTATATACTAAGCCTACTGCCTTATGAAATTCATGGAAAGAGAATTTACAATTAAAAATTCTATTAGTTAGCAGAGATAGAACATTACACATCATGTTATGTCTGGACAATACCACTGTATATTCACAAAGTATGAAGACGAAAAAGTCAAATAACATCTTACTGTTAGTATAAAAATACTGTGCCCTCATTGAAACCCTGAAAGAGTACCGGAAACCTCAGGGTTTTGTGAACCACCCTCTGAGATTCATCATTCTGGTGTTCACTCTGAATTTTAGAAATTGGTGTGCTTTTCACTTACTGTTTCATTTTTGTTTGCCCATCTTAGATATATTCTTAAACATTTTCATATTGGGTTAATAAAGAGTCTTTCAGTATTTTGGAAAGGTTGTTTGTATGAAAGAAAGAAACTGCTTGAAATTATAGGATTACTTGGAAGATGTATGTGTTCAGTTTTTTAAAAATTGGGCAAGATCAGTTTTATTTAGCACTCACAATCCAAAAAGTCCTTTTCTTTTTCTTTTTTTAAAAATATTTTTTAAAAATTAATTTTATTGGTACATTTTAGGTATACAATATAATGACATTCATCATTGGAAATTTGCACCTTTACATAAATAATCTCTCTTGGTTCTTATTTTTTCCCCATTCCCCTGCCTTCCCTTCAACCCCTCCACCCTTCCCTATTTACAAAGACTTTGTTTCCAGTTTTGCATTTTCTCATATTAATCCCATTCCCTTCTGTCCTTTCCCCTAGCCCTCCCACTTCCTTCCCCTTTGCCCCTTTTCTTCCTATTCACATTATCTATTATACCTTTTAGTCCTTATTTACACTTTCAGTTTCTCACACTAGAGGAACTATTTGGTATTTACACATGTGTGTCCTATTTAAGAGTATCGCCTCAAAGAGCATCCAGAAAAAGGCCTTTTCTAAACTCTTGTTCTTTAACGATTCATCTTCACTTTTATATTCCCACTTCAATTGTATACTGAATAAAAAGAATTAAGAGTGTATTGGACATTCTGGACTTAGCCACCTGTTGTGTATGTATTGTGGAACCTGAAAAAATGTCATAAGGAGACAGTACTGTTGTGAATATAAATTTCAGTGATACATATTGGCTGCTTATTACATGACTTGTTTTACTTATTGGAGAAAAGTGACACACTTTTTAAAATTCGTTTTCAGGATGGAAGAACAGCCCATTTGTTCCTACTTGGAAAAGATTCTTTCTAAAAATATGGAACTGATGGAAAAGAAACTTATGGACTACATTGACCAGCGAATATATAAACTCCAGGAGCACATAGATGATAAAATTGCTTTGTTAATGGATTTGTTACAAAATCCTAACTTTCCACTTGCTGGGATGCCTCTAACACATTATGACTCTGGAGAAAGACTTTCAAATGGAGAAAGATAAGCTTCTCAATATATACATTGTACTGCAGATATTTATTACCTATTTATTACAAAGCCAAAACCCCAAAATGTTTATGAATAGCAAGTATTTAACGTTCTTTAAAGATCATTGTCTTACATAAAGTGACCTCAATGTTCATTTTGACTGCCCTTGTTATTGTAAATCCAGTACTGTACACTGAATTAACATAATACAGTCAGGTTATTTTTGTTTGCAATATTTTTCACTCTTACAGTAATTTATCTATACATGTGTTGCTTAAATGTTTAAGGATTTCTAATGCAGTTCATTAGTTTGTATTTTATATTATGTATGTGTTTGATGCAAGTGAGTTTTTTATTTATATAAAAATTTTATAGTCTTAAGAGTATGAAAAAATTACTTGATAAGAGTATTTCATTTTTTCCTTTTTCTAATTCTTGAAAATATTTGGAACCTTTAAGATCACAAATTTGCATTTTGTATTGCTTATCTGAGGTAATGAATAAAATGCAATATTTGGTTTGTGTAAAATTAATTTATACCAGTGCTGTTAATATTTGTTTCATGTAATGTAGCTGTAGGAGGAAAGTAAAAATTAGAACTGGCCTATTCCTTTTTAGGATTATTACTTTGGGTTTGATGTTTCATATAAAAAGTGAGCATTTGTTTTGTTTGGTTTCAGTAACCTCAGTATAAGAAAAATCTTTCCTTTCTTTTCTTGAGCTGATACAAATTCTCCCAGAATTCTTCTCTGACATGTTTAGTGTACTGTTCCAAGAATCAGAATTGAAGGATCAAGACCTATGAATCAATAATTGCAAGTCTCTTTAGCAGACTTAAATTTCTGAACTTTGAAGGGTGATGTATTTGCATGTAAAAATAAATGCATCCTCTCTGAAAGCTCCTTGTTTTAAGTAAATGGAACTCTTACTTTCAACTAATCTTTGTTTTATATATTTCATATTTTATTTTTTATTAATACATATTTGTGATACAAAAATACATTTGCTTTGGGGAGTTGGTACATCAATATAGTACAGTCTTTTATTTTGTTCTTTTTTTTTTAAGTTATTTTTATTAGTGCATTTTTGCACACAGTTAACAATCACATTCATCAAAGGGAATTTGTACCCTTGTATATAATTTGTATATAATGTGTTTCCTTTTTTCCTATTCCCCTCAACCCTTCTTCCCCCTCCGGTTTACAAAACCTTTCTTTCCATATTTTCTTTCTGTTCCCTTTTGAAAAAATGTCTTTCCCCTTCCCTCCCTCCCTCCTCCCTTGTCCCCCGCCCCCCATTTCAACGTATTCTTCCTATTTCCCAATATCTGTCCTCGGTTTTTGTCCTTATTTACCCTTTGGGTTTCTCACACAAGAGAAACAATGTGATATTTAAATTTAGATGTCGGATTTAATTCACATAACATTATGGTCTCAAGTTGGATCCATTTACCTAAAAATGACTCAAGTTTATCCTTTATGGCAAAGTAGTACTCCATTGTATATAAAAATGACGTTTTCTTTATCCATTCATTTGTTGATGGACATAAGGGCTGTTTACAAGACTTAGCTATTATAAATTGTGCTGCTATAAACATGAGTATGTATATATTACTGGTATGATGCTTTTAACTCTTCAGGAAGATACCTAGAAGGGGCACAGCTGGTGAAATGGAACCTCTACTTTTAGTTTTTTGAGGAATCTCCATACTGACTTCCATAGTGGTTGTACCAATTTACACTCCCACCAACAGTGGAAAAGGGTTTCTTTTTCCTCATAGCTATGCCAGCATTTGTTAATGATTTCTTGTAATAGCCAATTCTTTCTGGAGATAGAATCTCAGTCTTTTAATTTGCATTTATATTTCTTGAATGACCAGTGATATTGAACATTTTTTTCATATATTTATTTGCTTTTTGTACTTTTTCATCTGAGAAATGTCTATTCATTTCAGATGCCCATTTTTGGATTGGGTGTTTAAATTTTGGGGGTCTGTTTTTTTTAAGTTCTTTGTATATTCTAGATGTTAGTATTTTGAGGAGTAGTTGGTAAAATTTTTTCCCAGTCTGTGGGTTGTCTCTTCACTCTTTTGGTGTTTCTTTTGTTGTGCAAAAGCTTTTAAATTTGATATCCCAGTTGCTGATTCTTTGTAATATTTCCTATGAAATCAGGGTTTTGTTCATAAAGTTTTTGCCTACACCTGTGTCTTCGAGTTTTACCTATTCTATCTTTTAGCAGATTGTTTTTATATTTAGATTTATGAGCCATTTTAATATTAGTTTATTTAGTATATGGTGAGAGACACAGATCTAGGTTCAGTCTTTGCCATGTAGAAAGCCAGTTTTCCCAGCACCATTTATAAAGAGGCTATCTTTCCTCCAGTGAAGGTGTTTGGCCCCTTTTTGAAAAGAAAGTAGGTGAGTGTGCTTGGAGTTGTTTCTGCATCTTCTGTTCCATTGATCTTATCTTTGTCAGTCTTACTATTGGAATCTCTTGGCTGTGCCAAAATGTTACCGGGTAGCTCCTTCTAAAAGTGGCTCGCCAATTAAATGTTACTGGGTTCTGGGTTGCTGGCCTCTCCTGGCGTTGGATTCTAGATTCTCATGTCAGACAAAGACTTGAACAAAACGAGCAAAAAGCAGTGGCAAAGTTTATTTGAAAAAGTAAAAGTGAAGAGTGAGAGAGAAACGCACTGCAGAGTGAGTGTGGGCTGAGTAAAGAGGAAAGGGCAAGGTAAAAGAACACCCCAGAGAAAGCAGGGTGGGCTGTCATAAGGAAAGCCATGATAGCATGCTCTTCTTGGCCTTTGTGTGCTTTTATATGTCCAAATCTTGAACCTGTGAGAACTTCTATGTATGGGTCCTAAGAGGCGGTGCTGGGATCCCACACCTCAGGCTGATGTCAAGTCTAGGCCATCCTATTGAAAACCTGCTTGGGTTCTCTCAAGAAGTCCTGGTGAGGGGCTTTGGGAACTTTTCTGTGCATGTGTTCTGGGATCTTGTAATTAACAGGTCATGCCTGCTTCCCCAGTCAGCTTTGTCATGCCTTAATCTCCTATGTCAGTACCATGCTGTTTTTATTATGGTAGCTTTGTAGTATAACTTCAAATCAGGGATTGTGATGCCCCTGCCTTGCTGTTGGTGCCTAGAATTGCTTTTGATGTTTTAGGTCTTTTCTGCTTCTATATGAATTTTAGGATTGTTTTCTCCATTCTGTGAGATGCTATTGGTATTTTGACTGGGATTGCATTAAATCTAAGTGGAAGCATTGCCGTTTTCACTATTTTGACTGGTTCTGTCTATCCAGAAACAAGGGATATCTTTCCATTTTTTGATACCCTTTTGGAATTGTTGTCTTTCTCTTTTTTTCTTTTTTTTTTTTTTTTGGTACTGGGAATTGAACTCAGGGCCTCACACTTGACAGGTAGGCACTGTGCTGCTGAGCTGTATCCTGGGCCCATCTTTTCCTAAACTACCCTTCAGAACTTTTTAGAGTGATGGTTTTGTGTTCGTGGAATTCTTCAGGTGTTCTTTTTCATGAAGTATCTTATTTTGTCATCAATTTTGAAAGATAACTTTGCGAGGTATATCAGTCTGGGTTGGAGGTTTCTTTTAGGGCTTCAAATACTTCACTCCAACCTCTTCTTGACTTAAGGGTTTGTGTTGAGAAGTCTATTCTGATGGGTTTTGCTTTGTATTTATAGGTGATTTGTTTTCTCTAACAGCTTTTAATATTCTGCTCTTGTGTTGAATCTCTGGAATCTTGACTATTACATGCCTTGGTGGTTTTTTTCTGACCATGGCTATTTGGAGTTCTATATTCCTTACTTATCTATATGTCAAATTCTTTTTCTATGCTTGGAAAGTTTTCTGCTATTACTTTTGTGGACAAGCTTTAATCTTATATTCTTCTTTGCATCATCTAGCAGCTATTGGATTGATTTTTCATGGTCCCTTGCTGTTTGTAAGGAGTCTCTCATTTGATGATCACCAGCTGTAACCCTGTCTTTTAAATCTGATGTTCTATCTTCTCATTGGTTAATTCTGCTCCATATACGTTCAATGGAATTTTAATCTGGATATCTATTTGAATTGGTTTTATGGCAGCCAGTTCTTTCCTATTTTGGGCATTCATGGTTTCCCTGTCTTTTCCTATGCTCTTCTATTTTATTATCTGTATCTACTCTAGATTCACTAACCATTTGCTTCATATGGTCATCATCTCTTTAGTTATCTGTGTAATTATATCTGTTTTGGTTTTGTCAAGAGACTTATTCATCTGTTTTGTTACTTCTACTACCATTTCAGAAAGTTCAGCTGGGTGGCTTTTGGTTTCTTCCATCTCAAAGCCCCCTGAATTTGCCTTGGGCAAGTTGGGTTGTTGGGTTGCATCTTCCATGTTTTCTCATTTTCTTTTTGTTTGTTTTCTATGTTGAGGCTTGTAAAATGCTTATGGTAAGTAGCTTTATTGTTAATATCGAGACCTCTTAAGGAAATTACTACTTTTCAGAGATGTCTTCTAGGCATAGCTGGATTTTGGCCTTTGAGTCTGTCCAGGATCCTGCCTTTTCTGTTTATTAGGAATAAAAGGTTGTTTCCTGTTTGGCCTAGCACCTAGTTCTTTGGTACTGGGCTGTAGTATTGTTTATGACCTTCAGATAATCTAGTTATTGGCATAGAAGAAAAACCAATTGATCACAATACCTATGTCACCTTGGCTAAAATAGTACAATCAGTAATAACAATAGCATCAAACAGCCTGGAAAATGATAAACTGATAACTAATAATTTGCCACATTTAACCCTAGGTACAAAATTCATAGCTGTATTACAAAAATCTAAGATAAATCAGAAAATTAGATACAGTAAATATCCACTTAATAGAGTGATTTCACCCTAAGGGGAGAAAACTAAAGGGAGAAGAAAAAATAGAGAAAGGAAAGAGGAAAAAGATATTAGAAGCAAGGTTGAAGGACAAAGGAAAATTATGCCTCAGGGAACTGGTGAAGAAGACAGGAGGGAAGCAAAGAAGAGGAAAACAACAAAGCAACAACAAAAAACTAAAATCATTGTTCACTCACAAAAAAAGCAATCCATAAAAGAAAAAAGGAAAAAACCCGAATGAACAAAAATTTTAAAAAAGACCAAAAGCAAAGAAAAAAATTTCTCTGATTTCAAGCCTGTGGTTATCTTCTGGGGTCTATAGTTTTGTGGCAGTGTCTAATTCAAGGTGTGACTGCTCTCACTGGTAGACAAAGGAGGAAGTCAGAGCCCAGATCCATGCTGGATAATTCCAGCAAGCCAACAGTAGGATTAGGACATGGTGCCAGTTCTGGGACTTTCAAATCTAAAGAAATTCTGGTCATGCAGATGGATCCTGAGTCGTTTAGCTCATATCACTCTTGGTGTCTCTTCCCAGCCTGACCATGGCTCCCTACTATGGACATCTCCCATTGTTGTTCCACACCCAGTCTCTGTCTGACTTTAGCACTAGGAACTCTGAGGTGACACCAACCCATGGCTGTTTTGAGTTC